AAAAAAAAAAAAAAAAAAAAAAAAAAAAAAAAAATTGGCCTGTAATCTTCAGAAGTCTCAAGGTGATGAAAGTCAAAGATAGAATGAGCAACTACTCCAGAAAGAAACCAAGAGATGTCAACTAAATGCAATGTATGACTTTTGAATTGGATCTTTTTGCTCTAAAGGACTGCTGATTAGATAGTACTAATCAATCAAAACTAATGTCCTGGTTTCGATAGTTGTATATTTGTTACACAGACAAATATCCCTGTTTGTTGGGAATACACAATAAAGTACATACGAGGGATGGGACACTAGACCAGCAAACTATTGTCAAACTGTCCCGAAAAAAGTTCTTGAGTTGTACTTCTAACTTTTCTGTAAGGTTGTAAATGTTTCAAAAAAAATTTTTTTTTAATTTCAAGTTGTATAGGATTAAATGATCTATCCCAACTCCCTTTTTTTCCACAAGCCCTGTTATTTTTAGTGCATAATTTTGCAGAACATTAGGTTTTAGACGAAAACACATATATTAGAGCAGAAACGCTGAAACACGGAAAACAAAATCCTATGGAAAATGACCATTTGGAGAAAGGTCTTGAACATTTAATACTAGAATATCTGGGGGCAAAAAGTCAACAGAAAAGCTGGAAAAAGTTAAAGAAATGACCTCTAAGCTGGAATAAAGTTAGAGAAAAAAAGGAGTTAGAAAAGGTAGGAAAATCAGTTGTAGTAGATTAAACACCACAATAACAGACATTTCAAAGACACACAAAAAGCAACACATGGAGAAGAAAATTAGCAAAGACTACAAATCTCTCAAAAATTAGGAATCTCCAACTGAGTACCCACCATAAAACAGACCTACTCCAAGGCATGTCATCACAAAATTTCAAAACTCAATGATAAAACCCAAACTTCCAGAAACAAAGATGACATGCAAAGAAGAGAACTCAGAAGAGCTTTGTCTTTCACACCAGCAACATTACCAGCTCGACAGAATAAATGTTCAACCTAGAATTCTACAGCAAAACTACTAAACAAATGTGAGAGTTTAGCTGCATCCAGATAAGCATTGTCTCAAAAACAAAACACAAAACCACCTCCCATGTACGCTTTCTGAGACAATGGCAGAAGGGAGTGCTTCAGCAGAATGACAGAGCACTTCAAGAAAGGCCCAAGACATAGAAGCCAGTGAACAGGAATATGCCATAGGAAAGCTGAAGAAAGAAGTCCCAAAAGGGTAGCTGTGTAGCCAACAACCAGATGACAGGAGGAAGAAGAAAGCTCCAGGACAACAGTGGAACTGACAAGTTAATAATGCACATTAATAATGGAAAATTATTTTGAGAAGTTATTACACAATATGTGGGAAAACTTAGCAATAGATGTACAGAAAAATAAAAATGAGAAGGGAAAAATTATTAAATGCAAGAAAAGTTGTCAGTAATCCAGCAAACTTCCCACTCATGAAAACATAAATGATCAATATGAATGAACTTAAGCAAAAATTGGGGAAATGTAGAAGTAAGAGTTTTCATCTACAGAATAGAAAATCAGTAGATACCTAAAATGGACAGAGTTGTACAAAATTATTTACGGATACAATGGTATATACATTTATAAAAATAAAAGCCACACATTTGAACGTGGTTGTTTCCAAGGAATAAAAAACAATGCTATAGATGACACGACCCAAAATACAGTCCAGGGGTCTGCAAATTTTTTCTGTAAAGGGCCAGATAGTAAATATTTAAGGCTCTGCCGGCCACATGGTCTCTGCTACAACTACTGAGCTCTGCTGGGTTAAGATAAAAGCAGCTACAGACAGTATATAAATGAGCATGTTTGAATACCAATAAAATTTGTTTATGGACACCAAAATTTAAATTTTATATACGTAATTTACAAGAGTCACAAAATGTTATTATTTTTAAGCCACTTAAAAATGTGAAAACTATCCTTAGCTCTTGGGCTGTACAAAATCAGGCAGTGGACTATAGGTTTGCCAACTCCTGTTCTGGTCTACACCAAAAGGCATTTTCCATCTAGGAAAGAATTTGCTAATAATATACCCTGTTATAGCCCAGCATGTACTTTATCAACATTATTTTTTAAAAAATTCTTACCTGGTGGCATAAGCTTCATAAGTACTCTTGCTCCATCTCTGAGAGATGGCATATTTAGGCTGCTACCTAAGTCTGCAACTTGCCAAAGGAAAGAGATGTATCTGGGATGCAGTGACATTATCTAGAATAGAAAATATACACAAAGTATTTACCTGTAAATTACACCTCCCCAAAAGAAGGGCCCGAAATAAATTTGTTAATTTCTACACTTTTGATTATATCATTTCTCCTCTCTAAAACAGTCTGCTTTCCCCATCTTACTTTTATAAATCCCTCATAATACAGAATGACTACATTAGCCAAGCAATCTCCAGTAATTTGACAGCTTTTACTATTTTTTAAACTACTTCTCTCATATATGCAAGTATGTACATACAAAAGGCTGCCATGTCCACTAATAGTTAAATTCCTAATACAATTGTTGCAGGGAGTCAATTCTTCAGACACCGGAGTGATTAGTATTGTAGCCATTAAAATTCTTGTGGGGAGGGGTAGGAGGGTAGGAAGGGAAGAGTCACTGTTTCTTTAGATACAAGATATGTTACTGACAATCTGAGAAAGACTGCACTTATTTTCCTACAGAAACATTTTTGTGGTACAAAGTACAGTGGTATTTTTCTAAATTTATATATTCAAGTTATAATTAAGCTGTATAATAGATTAACTTTATGGAAACATAACAATACTATTATCTATAAAGGAAATGTTTAAAATTTCAACCAAGTTACAATCACCTTTCAGAGGGGTTCATTCTGAAGTTAATGGTTAACTGTATTTGATATTTTGTCACATTAAACAGTAAGTTCCTCAAGAATGAAGAACTATTCTATACACCTCTTTATTCTCAAAGAACCTAGCATAATGCCTTGTATACAGTAGCTGAAAACTACTCACCACCCCAGGCAAACAGCTTTCCACTTCTGGATTGGGACCATCACTGTAATGATTACCATGGTTTCCAGGAGAGCCAGTTGAGGAATCAGAAGAGCTATCTGGGCTTGAAGGCATATTGGAACTTATTTGTGTAAGTTTGGCTGTAATTAGCTGAAAATGATATACTATGTTAGTACCAAAAACAAGGAAAAATACACAAAACATGTTAGTGATACACTGACAAAAACCTACAAGTTACACTTTTAGAAATACAATTTATAAATTTTGTCTCACACGACCACTTAGTTTTGCTTTTAGAAATCCTTTCCTGGGCCAGCCGAGTGGCGTGTTGGTTAAGAGTTGGCTTGGGAAACCAGCTCTGAGCAGCAGGGTTCTGGTTCAGATCCCACATGAGGGCCAGTGATGCTGCGCCCTCTACAGCTATGACGGTGAATAACAGCTCGACCTGGAGCTGGGCTGCCATGAGCTACTATGAGTGGCTGGCAGCCAGCGTGAGCAGCCGTGCAATGGCCAGCGAATGACTGCCTCACCTGGGAAGAGCGCTATGATCACAATACCAACATGGGCCAGTGAAGCGACGTCCTCCACAACTAGACTGAAGAACAAAAAGGACAGCAACTTGTCT